CCACTGTGCCTTGTGGAGATTCACTTTTTAAGTATTATTTCCTCCATATTCCTCATCAGTCACTACCTCTCTATTACTAATTTATTTCATTTTTTTACATTGCCAACAGATTTATTCTTTAAAGGAATGGATTAAAAGAAAAACACATGAGGCACAGAAGTATGCAAAAGAAAAACATATAAATGTAGTCTATTTTGCTAAATGATTTATAACCACAACAAACTAGTACAGAGAATGCCCCGTATACAGCATAAAAAAAGATTAAGGTGCTCACTTAGCAAGGCTGAAGATTTTCAGTCTCTGTATTTGGAATTTAGGCTACAGTCCTTGGTTTTGGATGGATCACTGGATGTGTGTCACATTCCATGCTATTAACCAGATTTGAACAGAAGAATGGCCACCTGGCCCATGTAGTAGATGAAGTGTTTGGTTTCATGCGCCACATAACTACCAAAGTTCCTCCTCAAAATGCAGTGCCACATGGGGTTGTACTTCTTGCCAAACTCCTTCTTGATATGCTCTGCAATGTTCTTTTCTATGTTATATTTCTCCAGCAACTGAGTAGCACACTCCACTGAATCCTGTTGCACCTCTTTTGACACGTCTGCATTTTTGATTACCATCTTTCGGTCACACATGGTTACTGTGGAGCATGAGCTGGCTGGCTGCAATGGTTTCCAAGAGGAGGTGGTGGCCCCACTCAGGCCAGAACAGAGATGCTTTAGTTACCAAAGCCATGGAACATGTACTAATGGACTTTAAATATATTTAATAATTAGGAAACATAAAATCTTGTTATATATTTACATATAAATATGTTATAGACTTCACTGTTGTGGTTATACAATACTATATTTTGAAGCAATACTATATTTTTAAGGTCAAACTAGATTTCAACTGCTACATACCATTTTAATATGTGTCTCCCCTATTTAGAAATCTTCCTGTGGATAATCACCTTGGCTTTCCATAATTCTTCAATACTACAAACAATACTGGAAGACTGTCATGTAATGAACATTTTTCCCTTA